TTCAACAGGTCCTTTACAAAACGTCGCACTCGACACGGCACGCCTGAAAGTCTCGCTTTCTCTAGCCTGTACTCCAGCTCTACCTGAGTGCATCTTTGATGTCTGTTGTCCACATCGCAGAGGTCTGTCTCTACTTGGTTTCCTGCACTCTCCATCACGATTCTCTACAGGCAACCATTGGCGTTCAACATGGCTCTACCTGAATGCATCTTTGATGTCTGTTGTCCACATCGCAGAGGTCTGTCTCTACTTGGTTTCCTGCACTCTCCATCACGGTTCTCTACCGGCAACCATTGGCGTTCAACATGGCTCTACCTGAATGCATCTTTGATGTCTGTTGTCCACATCGCAGAGGTCTGTCTCTACTTGGTTTCCTGCACTCTCCATCACGGTTCTCTACCGGCAACCATTGGCGTTCAACATGGCTCTACCTGAATGCATCTTTGATGTCTGTTGTCCACATCGCAGAGGTCTGTCTCTACTTGGTTTCCTGCACTCTCCATCACGGTTCTCTACCGGCAACCATTGACGTTTAACATGGCTCTACCTGAATGCATCTTTGATGTCTGTTGTCCTCATCGCAGAGGTCTGTCTCTACTTTGTTTCCTGCACTCTCCATCACGGTTCTCTACCGGCAATCATTGGCGTTCAACATGGCTCTACCTGAATACATCTTTGATGTCTGTTGTCCACATCGCAGAGGTCTGTCTCTACTTGGTTTCCTGCACTCTCCATCACGGTTCTCTACCGGCAACCATTGGCGTTTAACATGGCTCTACCTGAATGCATCTTTGATGTCTGTTGTCCTCATCGCAGAGGTCTGTCTCTACTTTGTTTCCTGCACTCTCCATCACAGTTCTCTACAGGCAACCATTGGCGTTCAACATGGCCAACATACTTCAGCTTTCGGCACAGAATGCTGTTTTATCATTCTTTTTCGGCTTCTGTGGCTTAGGTGTTGCGAACGCTCTTTGTAATGCCGGGGTGCCGGGTTCGATCCCAGCTGCGGGTCTTGCGCCTTGCGTTAGTTTTGACAGTGGCATCGAGAAGCTGACTGTCTAGAAAGCAACGGCAAACTATTGCAAGTCAATTTGCCTAGAAAAACTACAGCGGCCAAAAAATGCTTGGGTTTGTTCTGCAACGTTCTGTAAAGGACACACACATAACTTTAGAGCAGCGGTTTTCAGCCAGTAGGTCGCAACCCTCTTTTGAGTCGAACGAGCCTTTCACAGGGGTCGCCAAAGACCATCGCAAAACACACATTCATTGAAGTTATGAAGTAAAAACGACAATAATTGTGTCTTTGGGGGTCACCACAATATGAGGAACTGTATTAACGGGTCGTGTCGTGAGGGTTTCTATGGATATATAAGTTTGTAGTCTCCCCTTTCTTGTCTCATCCACAAGGCCGAGAATCTCGCCCTTTAGATTATCCGGGTAAGATAATGAAAGCTAGGCATCAACAATACGCATTATACAATTTAAATGTTTATATAATTTAAAACAAATTTTCCGTCACCGGTAATGAACAACAAAAAATTGTATTTCACTGGGGATATTTCTTTTGTATAATGTAATAGTAAAATAGACAAAATATAAAAACTAAATACACAACAGCTATTTGTCGGGGTTTTGTTACAGCGCGAGATGAGGGAAGAAGATAATTTTCTTCCTCTTCTTATGATGATGATTACTATTATTATTCCTTGTTTTTTCCTCATCTTCTTCTTATTATTTATATTTTCTTTTCCCTACCCCACCTCTTCCTAATCCTCATTTTCGGTGTGCTTCTTCTTCATCACGTTATCGTGTTAAAATTATAGTGGCTGTTTCTCATAATTCAACAGTGAAAAATAACTGTTTCAACTGTATCTGAACAGTGAACCTATTTTCAAGGTTTGTATGTTAACAGTCATCAATTTATGTGAATCTCAGTTAAGCAGAATAGAACTCTGATTGCTGTAACAATAACACATTACCATCACAATGACATGAATTATTATCATAGGTATTAACAAAATCTTCAAATGTAACAAACTCAAAATAATGATAAGTTCACATTAAAATGCCTTGTCCTCTCTTGACTTTAACAATTGGTAACTATACTGCGTTTTATTTCTCAATTCAAATATTCTTAAATGTAATAATAGTCATTTTTATTAAGTTATTGACTTTTAGTATTATACTGGATATATTATTCAACAATATTCAAACCGTACTTAGGGCACTGGAACGGCACAAAGTGCACTTAAAAATTCACAAGCGCGTGCATAATGAACGACTCAATAGAAATATCCAGGAAAATCAAGGCCGGCTTCATCAGACAAGAATGAATTCTCCCGTTGAATGCATCAGTGTATCGCCAATAACTCACCTAACCTTTATCTTGGTGCTAGGCCATGCGGGTGTTCTAGCAAACGAGCCTACAGATTATCTGACAGACAATGCGGTTTCGATGACTGAATTAGCACTGGACAGGAGTGACATCAATAATGCTTTGCAAAACGCATTCACTAAGAGCACATCTAACTCATCAACACAGAACAGGCGTGTTCATTCATTGTATGATTGTGGGGCTACTGAGGAGGAGACTGGAGCAGCTGTGGATCTGTCTGGAGTGTTTTGATGGTAGTCCTTACTAAAAGCCAGTAACAGTCATCATGAACTCCTTGTGGGTCTGTCTGGAGTGTTTTGATCGTAGTCCTTACTAAAAGCCAGTAACAGTCATCATGAACTCCTTGTGGATCTGTCTGGAGTGTTTTGGTGGTAGTCCTTCTTAATAGCCAATAACAGTCATCATGAACTCCTTGCCAACTGGCACTGAGGTTAATACCTTTTGTCTTCTGATGATCGCTAACAGCATGTTCTCATTGGCGTGCTTACACCTTTCAATGCCATGTCGAAATGGGGGGGGGGGGGGGGGGGGGGGGGGGGGAGAGAAGACAGGCTTCATAAGTTCTGAATGCTTAAAAACACAAGATCAATGATATTTAATTTTCACGTACTTAAGACAAGATCTCATGACCTATTCTGAAAGTGCATTATATGTGACATTTTATTGTAGCAGTTATTTTCACCTAAACCTGGTGGTTACAAACTAACAATGTTGCAACAAGTAACAGATAAGTAATTTTGTTAACACATTTACATCATCATCATCATCATCAGGTGCCTTGCCGACTGGCGTGGGCGATCATGCCTCTCCATAATCTGCGATCTCCTGCAGCATGTATCACTTCGTGTGCCGACACACCTCCATGCCATGCAACAAGACTGTCAAGCATCTTCTCTCGTTGTCTACCTCTATCTCTCCTTCCACATATCTTTCCAGTGGTCACAACATGTTCTATTTTCCATCTTCTCATAACATGGCCGAAAAATGATGACTGTCTCCTTCTGATGTCTGTGATAAGTTGTCTTTGGGCTCCCGCCTCTTTCAAAACCTCTTGGCTGCTCTTTTTGGCTGTACAAGGTATTCTAAGCATTCTTCTGTAAAACCACATCTCCGAGGCCTCCAGGAATTGTTTGGCCTGCCTACCTATTGTCCAGGATTCACAGCCATATGTTAAAACTGGATGTATGTAGCAAGCAAGAATTCTTTTTCTAACTCTCAATGACAAGGATATATTTCACAAGATGTTTTTCATTTTATAAAATGCAGTTTTTGCCTGTCCTATTCTGTTTCTTATCTCAGTTATGCATCTTCCATCTGATGTTATCCATGTGCCCAGATACTTAAATTTCTGTACTTGTCCTAAAATAACACCATCAACTTTTTACATAGGAACATCTAAACAGTCCCTTTTGAAAAACATTTTGAAAAAAGGAATTTTCGAAACTCACAATATTAAAAAGAAATTAACAAAAGGTCTCCACAGAATACAGTACGAACCAAGTGTTATAACAATTTAGTCAAAAAATAAAAATGTGTGTATACATGTAGAAATAAATGGCTGATATAAGAAAATGATATTATAATATTGTCATTACACATATCACTTGAAATGGTGTTTCTTCTTTTTCTTCTTCTTCTTCTTCGTTTTCTTTTTTCTTCTTCATCTTCCTCTTCTTCTTCTTCTTCTTCTTCTTCTTTTGCTGCTGCTGCTTCTTCTTAAATGCGCCAAGTTTTATTCATTTCTATCCTTTTCTGCGCAACGTATGGTCGTGGGCAAGCAATTTTGCGCAAGGAACGAACTCCGCAACTACAGCCACCACTCCAGAAATTTTCGACACATCTGAACTCATGAACCTAAGGGAGGGGTCCAAAATCAAACCCACAATCTTCACTTCATAAGGCAAATAGTTCAACTCTTTCGGTGTCAGTAGATTTTACATGTGTGACAGAGAAGTAGCCATCAGGAATAGAAATCTGAGCATGTCTTTCATGTGGCTACTTAAAACGTAGTGAAAGTGGTCATCGGGAAAGCAGATTTCTTTCGTTTTCTCTGATCAAATGTAAAATGGCTTTGCATTATAAGATGGTTCAGTTTCATACACGGCCAGCTGGTCTGTGCTTACTATTGTTATCGAGTAAATTTATACACAAATTAAACTAGTTTTTTTTTTTTTTTTTACTTGCAACATATTTTATTGAATAAGTTATCATTATGAAGATAAAAAAAAATGAGGGATTAGAAAAGAGAATAATAAAATTATAATAATAAAATATTCAATAAAATGTGTTGCAAGTTAATTAAACAATAGTTTCACCTGTGTATAAATTTACTCGATAACAATGCGGAGCACAGAACGGCCCTAGACAGCCTAACAAAACTGGAATTTTCGTAGACCTGTTTGGCCTTACTGCAGGAGCTGGCTATGGTTTCATAGGTCAAAGCCCAATGCATATTATATGCTGGCTGGGACTAAACAATCTAACCTCTTTGTACCTCGTGACATCCACCCCCCCCTCCCCCCAACTTATATATTTTTTAAAAACTCCAATAAAGAGCATTTAAAACAACAACGAATTATATCTACATTGACAGCAGCAAACTATATTAGGACTGTGTTGAAAGCGATGACGCTGATGACAACGTTGGCGACTCGGGTGACGCCTGCAGATTCTGAGAAGATGTCGAGAGCTCCAGGTCAAAGATCTCCTTTAAAAGAGGCATGACCTGGCTAAAGTCGGGCGTGATGTCAAACACGTGGGCTCTCAGGTTGTCACTGAACTGCTCCACAATCTGACAGAGATCGGGGACCAGCATTAGCAGTTTGGCCAGCAGAACCTGTAACGGTGTCATCGATTAGTTAATAGCAGTTTGATTGAAGAATTAGTAATCTCTTTGTCATCACTGTAATCACCACTATCGTCAAGAATTTCATCATTAACCACTTAATCATCCTCATAATCATCATCATTATGGCTTTTCCCCAAGCAATACCGACACTGTTTAGACGTTAGTTTATTTCATCACTTTTAAAATAGACACATAGTGGTGAGTACCAGCACCTTTGTAAATGTAAAAATACCCAATCGCCATCATCGTCATTAACATGAATGGTAACACCATCATCAAAAAGAACATTATCACCATCATTATGAACACCCTCCACATCATGGCCAATTTTACAAACCCGCCTCGACAGGCATTTGAAGCCATCATATTTATAGTCCAATAGTACTAGTGCCTAGTAGCCAGTGCCCAACTACATCTTCTAATGATCTAAAGTAGTAGTTCCTAACTGGCGGTCCGCTAAAATATTTAAGTGGAGGACCAATATAGGCGTCTGTGATATCATTTATAAAGAAAGAAAAACGTTTTTATTTGCGCTTCTAATACAGATTTACTATGTACACACACACATATACGAATATATATATATATATATATATATATATATATATATATATATATATATATATATATATATAAACTGTTAAAATATAGGAGGTCTGATGCAGGTCTTTGAAAATAAGAGAAGTTTGCGGGTCTTATCTAACTGGTAACCACTGATCCCAATGACATAAACAGGAGTAAAGACAGTCAAGCTGATATCAAGAACTAACTAAACACACAAATACCTTTGTCTAATTGAAAAAAAAAAAAAAAAAATTATTTATATTTCCCATCCTGTTGTTTTTTCTAGTATATTTGTTTCGTATTAGCTTGTTCCTATAAATATTTTCTCGTATAACATCTGTCAAGTTCCATGCTGACCTTGTCGGTTGATTATAAATTTGTTGTTTTGTCGTTTGTTATGTCTTTGGCTGAAATTTTCTGTTTGCATTTGTGCACGTCGTTTCCTCTCCCTTGTTCAGGTTTGTAGTCAGTGTGTGTGTGTGTGTGTGTGTGTGTGTGTGTGTGTGTGTGTGTAACTACTTTCCAGTTATCTAGTAAGCTGTTAAAACTCTGTTTGTTAAATGTGGACAAATGGTAGCTTCTCTGACCTTTTCTTTAGGGTGGTTGTGTTTGAGCTCCAGACGTAGGGCTGCCACAAGGTTGGCCTGCAGGTCCTCCACTTGCTTGGGCGATGACAAACCCGTGCAGTCTAAATAGTGATCAATGGGAAATAACTGCTATAATTACAAACCATTTTCAAGTACACCTTGAGACCCAGGTATTTTAGTAGTATTTGAAAAATCAGTTTCCGTCCTTTTTAGGATAAAATTTTTCGTTATTTGAAGCCCTACGCTTGCTCTTGCCAGGGGCCGCAATATAGCCCGGCCATAAATATGGTCTAATGGCTGAACGCGGTTTCTGGGACCTCTCCACGGTGATCCTCATCCACATGGTGGCACATTGTGTCATCTGGTGTTTATCGCTTGTGTGATGTCCTGGTGTGGTAGAAAGTCAGTCCATCAGTCAGACCAAGGTAACCTTAAATGGTTGCCAGGAGCAGTCTTGTGAAGTAAAGGCGGCCGGCGTGATGCTGACCACATCACTCACCAAGTGCCGATTGGTCTATAAAAATATAGGTCTAGCCCTTTATTCCCGATACGCCTAAAAGCGTGGAAAAAAGTACCTTTACTCAAGTACGATTTGCGTCAATAATAGTATATATGTGTATGTAACCCATTATGTGTGTGCAGATGCGAAAGGAGTAAAAGGAAGGTGGGCTGGGTAAATATATTGTTTAAACATTGTGTGAGGCTCCTGACTGTGTGTCCGCGTATGTGACTGGTGTGTGTGTCTGTGTGTGTGTAGGTGCATGTGCGTCTGTTGTGTGTGTATATGTGTGTGCATGGGTATAATATATTGTTTGTATTCGTGTGGGTGAGTGAGAGGGAGAGACAGTGGGTGAGAGAGAGAGAGAGAAAGTGTGTGTGTGTGTGTGTGTGTGAGAGAGAGAGAGAGAGAGAGAGAGAGAGAGAGAGAGAGAGAGAGAGAGAGAGGTGTCCGATAACTGTGGCAGCAAAATGCTAATACATCTAACACAGTTTTGTGTAAAACAGCAAGACGAGACTATGACGTATCAGTAATGAGCAAATTAAACATGTTAATGTCAGCCATCTTGTATGTATGTTATTCTTCAGCGTCGTCTTCTTCTTAACGTTCAGCGGCTGACACTTCGGTGGAAAATCCTGGCTGTTTGTCCACTCTTGGACTCTGGTTTTCTTGAAAGTGAATTGTTTGCGCGCATATCTATTTTATAGATCAGACTAATTTATACACAGACTGTTGGTTCCTTGGCTCTCAGGCAGATGCGCTCCAATTTTAAAAGGAAACATCTTTAATTCGTCGCCTCAAAAATTGCCGGGAACTCACATAGGGAGAAATATATGGTAATTTGTTTGGTACTGATAGAGTTAATCTCCAACACATCAAGGCAGGCCAGCAATTTGTTTGATAAGTTGAAGCTACAGTCGAGAGGATCGAACACACATGGCTCTATCTCTCTTCGTAACACGGCTAGCTGTCTACCTCCATGGCTCAAGCGACAATCCCTAAAAATGTCCCTAAAAATTAGAACGTGAACCGAATGATGACGTCGGTGAAACAAACCATGGATCTTCAGAGCACCAGGCTAACGGCTTAACCACCTCGCAATGGAGACACGTATGATTTAGATTAGGGCTTTTCAACCTGGCAGGGGTGCTCCCCTGGGGGAAAGGGGGGGGTGGCGTAAGGAAGATGCAACGGAGGGGATGGAAAAGGGGGGGGGGGGGTAAAAGCAATTTTGAAAATGATTGCATTTTTTCTTGTACTTATGTTTTTACTAACATTTATTTTACGTCTAGTTATAAATATTGTTTAACAATTATATACAAAACAAAAAGACAAGGATGCTATATTGTTGTGACACTGATTTATGGTCATCTTTCTCTTCTTCAAGTTCTTGTTGACAGTGTTTAGGAATTTTCTTGGCGTCTTTTTAATCACTGGCTTTATTAGAGCTAATAGACTTAAATGGTTAGGGCATATTGAAAGGATGTCAGATAACAGAGAAGTAAAAACTGTATACACGAGAAAGATGAATCGTTGTAGACCACGAGGCAGACCAAGAAAAACATGGAGAGATAATGTCCAGACAGACCTGCACACATTTGGTGTCACCAACTGGAAAGAGAAGGCCAGCCAGAGAAATGAATGGAGGCAGGTGATATCTGCAGCAATGAACTTCAGGGGCTCAGAATGCTCAAGAATAATAATAATAATAATAATAATAATAATAATAATAATAATAATAATAATAATAATAAGAAGAAGAAGAAGAAGAAAAAGAAAAAGAAGAAAAAGAATAAGTATTTTAAATCCCATTGGGGGCAGGGTGGGAAAACAATAAAAAAAAAGGAGGGGGGGGGGGAGGGGTTACTTGAAGGTCTTGGCGTATATTCTAAAGGGCGCCACCTGAAGAAAAAAAAAAAGGCGTGAGCCACTAGCTTAGATGATACGACTTACCTTGTGTCAGTAGGACAGCTGAGAACAGTGCCATTTCTCCCATGGTGAGCCCAAATGTGTGGAGCTTGTCTATGACGATCAGGGCATGACCCAGCAACCAGGCCATTTGTTCACAGATGTGATAGGAGTTTCTGCGCACTCGAAGGTTGCCGTCCGGGGAGTTCAGTAGTATGTAATGTTGCGTGATCATCGAATGGAGCTGAAAGACGATCATATGATATTGGAGCACTTATTAACAGGGTCGTCTTAACAGCATTAAGGGCTCCTGGGCGAATGAATGTGTTACAACCACTTATAGGAATGACATGTACATGGTCCATGGTATTAAACATATATTTATTTAACTGGCACTTTAACAACAATGATGAAAGAAACGGAAGGGAAATGGGATTGGGCGGTATACTTTTTGGTTTTATATTACACATAAATAAATGTGACGAGTTGCTTTGCATGGTATCCCCGCTCACAGAGAGCCAAGCGGAAAATCCGTGCGACAAACAACCGCACGAGAGTCTTGGGGCCAGTTGAGTAGACGTGGGCAGGCCTGAGCTAGACTCGTGGTCAGTTGCTTACCAGAAGTCGTAGAAGACGGTTGTGTTAATAGAAGATGTAGTTATTATGTCGTGTGAATGATCAGTGTTTAAATATGACGCAAGCGATGGAAATGTAAATAATCGTTAGAGCATGTTGAAAAAAATGCAACAGAATAGACAGCATCTACAAGGAAGCTGAGCTGCGTTTGTGTTATCAGTCCTAGACGTTAGAGCAGTGCGAGTAAATATGTTGTAGTAATCATATAAAACTGAATCGTGGCTAAGCAGATACATTGCTATTGCTAAGCCAAGGTACATCGCAATAATGGAGAAATCATATATAGTATTATCTATGGCAAGTCACTTTACATACGCTTAGTAACTTGGGACCCCTTTACTTTTGGGCCCCCGGGTAAGTGATCAGCGAGCACATGCGTTGAGACGGCTCTGCTAAGAAGGTCACATCGCTTCATGTTACAATACATCCAATCATGTCATATTTTGTCATTTCTACTGATATCATACGACAGCAGATCACATTCGATTTCACACAATCACATATCGCATGGGTGGGCAAACTATGGCCCGCGAGCCAAAACTGGTCAGCTGAGCAATTTTTACTGGCCCGCGAAGCTGTTGTAAAAATTACTATATATGGTAAGTGAACTCGCAATATAGACCCCCACCCTCCCCTACCCCCGCCCTAAAAAAACTCTCTAAAATATCAACATTCAAAAACCAAAGTAATCACCCAAACAGATACAACCAGAAACTGATGTCACCAAATCTGTGATCTTTCTAGTGAAGCATGTGTTGCTGACAATTCAGTCACTAGAAGACAATCTCTGTCGACGGACTGTGATAATAAAATATAAGAGCAGAAGCAGGGGAGTAATAATAATAATTTAATAATGACGGAAAAAAACAATATAATAATAATAATAAGAAGAAGAAGAAGAAGAAAAAAAAATATTTAAAAACTCACAGCTAAATGAACAACCATGAACCCATTCCTCTTCATCAGTAAAATTTGGTCTCTCATAGCAAGAGACGTAAAGCCGGGAATCTTTTTGGCAAATCTAACACTTGCTTCCATCACCGGAACCGTCAGCTCCTGGAATCTCCGAAAGATTCCTTTTGAAAGAAACTGGTGACTGGTCAGCGTGTCTAGAATTTCCGCTGTCCCCATGACCTGTAAGAGGAATATAGTCTTGTATTCACCTCCATGCTGAGGTCTAAAGACAACTTATCGCAAACATCAGAAAGGGACAGTCACAATTGGGGGGTGGGGAGTGGGGGCACAATATGAGAAGACAGAAGCTGGAACATTTTGTAACTACTGGAAGATCTGTTGGAAACGGAGACAAGAGAAGACAACACGAGAAGATTGTTTACAGTCTTTTTTGTCATGGCACGGAAGGGTATCAGCACACGGGCCAATGAAGATTGCAGGTTGTGGAGAAACACGCTCGCCAACGTAAGGCACTTGATGATGATTCGCATTGTCACCAGTTTAATGCAGGTGTCGTCACCACGACGAAGGTTGGCTGCGATGACAATGGATCTCCAACGCGCGCTCTCTCTCTCCCTATCGCCCTTGCTAATCATACTCAGAAGTCTTCGTTCATCGCTTCTTCTTCTTCTTCTTCTTCTTCTTCTTCTTCTTCTTCTTCTTCTTCTTCTTCTTCTTCTTCTTCTTCTTCTTCTTCTTCTTCTTCTTCTTCTTCTTCTTCTTCTTCTTCTTCTTCTTCTTCTCCTTCATCGTCTTCTTCGTCGTCGTCTTCGTCGTCGTCTTCGTCTTCTTCTTTTTTCTTCTTCTTCTTCTTCTTCTTCTTCTTCTTCTTCTTCTTCTTCTTCTTCTTCTTCTTCTTCTTCTTCTTCTTCTTCTTCCTCTTCTTCTTCTTCTTCTTCTTCTTCTTCCTCTTCATTCTCTCTGCAAGTGGTCTACAGATGAGAAGACCACGTGTATCTATAAATTATGTGGTTCAACACTAAACACTGATATTAAAAAGAGACATTGCGTGGTACCGAGAAATTGCTTGGTACCGAGAAATTGCTTGGTACCGAGAAATTGCGTGGTAGCGAGGAATTGCATGGTACCGAGGAATTGCTTGGTACCGAAAAATTGCTTGGTACCGAGGAATTGCTTGGTGCCGAGGATTGCTTGGTACCGAGGAATTGCTTGGTGCCGAGGATTGCTTGGTACCGAGGAATTGCATGGTACCCTATTTTTCAGGTTCGGCTGTGACACTTTTCTGGTTTACCTACACCTGTCGGCCTGTCACCTCTTACTTTAGTGAGCTTCCTTGTTAGGATGTGCTTGCTTAGAAAGAATGCTGTCTCCAGCTGACGAGCTCTGTCACCCCGACGTTTGCAGTATTGTAAACGTGAGGCTGTCTGAATGAATAAATCGAGAATTGACGTCACTGCACTCGGGACATTCCCGCATGTGCTCCGTTCCTTGGTTAGCAGCAAACAAAGAGTCCACATACTAACAGAACCAGTTGCAACCTTATTATTTAGTCTTTCAATGTACAGATTCTCCGTACCTTCTATTGCACTGTCTATTTGATCACAGAGAGCATTCACTGTGTGCACTTTATTTTAAAATAGCTTAACACCCAGAGTAGCAGCAGCAGCAGCTAATCTATCAGTCAGCTCATTACTCAGAACACCTCCATTTTCTGAACAGAAAGAAATTTCATTATATGCTCCTTGTCTGAGTCTAATCAAGTGATACAAGTCACGCTACAGTCTACACGTAGCCTTGTCTGAGTCTTATCAAGTGATACAAGACACTCTACAGTCTACACGTAGCCTTGTCTGGGTCATATCAAGTGATACAAGACACTCTACAGACTACACGTAGCCTTGTCTGAGTCTTATCAAGTGATACAAGTCACTCTACAGACTACACGTAGCCTTGTCTGAGTCTTATCAAGTGATACAAGTCACTCTACAGTCTACACGTGGGACGCCAGTTTCAATTTTCCGAGGCATGGGCTATGTATGAATCAGTTACAATTACAACATGTCGGGAGGCGCTGTTCTCAAACCATCGGAAAGCTTTCCTGACTGCTTTACCTCCATTGTCCTACTGGCTGTTGTAAAGCCGTCTACCCCTCTCTTCAACTCCTATCTCTTCATTTTATTATGTCTGTCGCGAATGCGACTTTGTGAAGCAGATTAGTTCTACTTTTTGACTAGACGGATATCTTTTCATGAATCGAGAATTTGAGAATTTATGACGACGGGAGTGATCATTGGCAGCAGGTACAGAGGTAGACCAGGGTGAATGATTCTGGCTAGTCTAAAACGTGAGGGTTCCAGGGCTATAAGTTTTGTTTGAAAATATGATAGACCCACTGCCAGCTAATAAGCATGTCGCAAAAGGCGACTGATTAGGGCTTTGCTGAATTCAGATGTTTTGGGCTGAATGGCGCAGATATCGCAGTCTGAGTGTAAAGCACAAGACAACAGAAGAAGAAGAAGAAGAAGAAGAAGAAGAAGAAGAAGAAGAAGAAGAAGAAGAAGAAGAAGAAGAAGAAGAAGAAGAAGAAGAAGAAGAAGAAGAAGAAGAAGCATCCGTAGAATTAATTTAGAACAGCACCGACTAAAATATGTGGAGGGAGAAAAACTCAAATGCCATCTGTTAAAGTACATGTTGAGAATGATGATGATGAGTGAAAAGCTGATAAAACACAGGAGTCTGGTACTCACTGTGTTCTCCAGAGATGCCCCTGTTGGAGGTGAAGGAGTACATGGTCTCACCGAAGACGGTGATGAAGCATCATAAGGTAGCATCGACCCTGAAACACCCGCAAGCTGGAAGTGATTTGAGACCAGATGATGATGATGGGTGTACTGATGCTCCAACAGTTGTTTCTGCTGCTGGTTCCTAAAGAATATCGTGTCACTGAAAGTGTCTCTGAAAGCGGCTTTGATTAAATCAGTAAGGGAGCGTAGTTCCACAATACGCCGAGAACTTGTACTCAATAGCTCTTCTCTGTCTGCCAGTAGTTTTTCCCGTTCAACTTTTGGCATGCGGCCAAATCTTACAGCTGGGGTTAAAACAACAATTAAACATAATTAGTTGTATTTAAGTTTAGATTGTATTTAAGTAAAGGTTATACATCTAATAATGATTAGTCAGTTTGTAAGAAAAAGTAAAGGACATTTTCTTACTCTAGTGGCCAATCTGTCAAAAGAAAGATACTAGACGTATTTTTATTGTAAAATCGGCACTGGGTGGGGGGGGGGTGGGGGTGGGGGGGGGGGGGGGGGCGGGGGTTGATATGGTCAATATTAGGCTGGTCGCCTTTACTTCCCATAACACTAATAATGATTATTTTAGGCTGGACTGACATTGGAGTAAAGGTGAATTTTGAAGGAAAAAAAAAAAAAACAAAGACCAAACAAAAAAAAAAAAAAAAACGTCCAACGCTGTGATAATTCGAATCGAAGGCGAGCGAGCGAGCGTGCGGTAAGTCAACTTCTCTCTACGGCTATAAACATTGACCTTTACTGCGAAGCTGATTTAGCTTTTCCACATCGTATTCTGCGGCTGTTACCATATTAGGTAAAATAGAATGTCAAACTCTCGTACATATTCGAGTATTTAACAGACTGTTAGTCTGAATTACTGTGTCAACAAATTATGTTTCTCTAAAACAATGATGTTCACCAACATAAAAAAGTTTTAAAAGCTTTATCACAATAGCATATAAAGGAAAGATCAGAACAGTTATATAATATATGTTACATAATACTGCTAAGGTTTACACTTAGGAATCAGGCAGTTAAAAACCAAAGTAAATTTTGTGGAAGCATAATATAAAAGAATAACCCAAAAAGATAAATATATATCCACTGTCTGTAGTCAAATAGAATGTGTGCACTCAAACTCACCGTCCTGCGACATGCCCGCAAACAGACATCTTTGATAGCGACAGTACTGACATTTGTTCCTGCTTCCGGTGTCAATCTTGCACCTGGTCACAGACTGACACGGTTTATACACTAACTGTTTCTTTAGCGTCCGTCTGAAGAAGCCCTGCAGGACACACACAGTAAATATATGTACATATATGTACACACACACACACACACACGCACGCACGCACGCACGCACCCACCCACCCACCTGCCCGCCCGCACGCACGCATAGACAGACAGACAGACAGGCAGACAGACAGACATAGACACACACATACAAACATACATACATACATACATACAGACAGGCAGAAAGACAGACATACATACACAGTCATATATATATATATCTACATGCATACATATATATATATACACACATAGTATATATATATATATATATATATATATATATATATATATATATATATATATATATATATATATATATATATATATATATATATATATCTAAACACACATATGCATACACACGCACACACACACACACACACACACACATATATATATTTGAGCAGCACCTAGTTTTTGTTTCCTGGCGCAGTGCCGGTAACCTTCTTTAATTTAAGTCATAGTTTTTTTTTGTCAGCACTACTGAATATAAATTTTTGTAGGTGCTTTCCCAATATCTGCCCCCCGCCCCCTTTCCACCCCCCCCCCCACCACTTCTTTCTCGTCAACATCATCATCGTCGTCATCGAGCGCCACATCGATAAACGAAGTTGGCCATGCTTTCCCATCCTGTACGATCATCAAAATCACAGATTAGGTCAGTGCACTTGTACTGCCCCAAAAATGTGTCACTGCCACCCAGGTATTTATCCCCGTCTTCCACTTACTTTGTAGTTACAATATTCCCACACTCACCTTACATCCTTCGCAGGAGTGTACGCCGTAGTGGAAACCTGAAGCTCGATCGCCGCAGATCCGACACAGAACCTCCAGCTCTGCCGTGTATTGTGGTTTGTATTGCTAAAAATTAATTTAAAAAAAAAAAAAGTAAACGAATTAACCTCTAATATATCCTTAGCCACTTGGTAAGATCAATGTAATATTCTTACTGTATTCTCTGTATATTTCTCTAGAAATGAGATGTCCGAGTAGGGCTGCAGAGGTGACCAGAAGAGAGATGCCATTAGGAGTGTGATCATAAGAGGGGGAAAAGACGGCACAGTCAATTCTACATAAACGTGCAAATAAACAGTCCTTGCTTAGAGACAATTCCTTGTAACGCCATACCATACAAATTAGTTGCGTACCCTTTACAGGACGTTGCAGGACCAAACGCAGCATTTTTTTAAAAAGGCTTTTGTGGTGTTTCTAGGCAAATTCAATGTTCGGTAGTTTGCCAGAAAAATGACAAACCATACAAGGCATACACCAAAACAGGAGATGGACGAAGAACATGAGCTAGAACAAGAACAAGGTGGACAGATACATCAGAGACAATTACGGCCCTTGTTAACTTGTGAGTGTGGCAATACAAAAGGTAAAGGACCCATTTAATGCCACTTCGCATTGGCTATATGGTGCTAGATAAACATTTGTATACACCAGTCGGTACTGGATGGATTATATAAACAACATAACACCATTCATCTTTACTTCCCAGTACCTTTCTCGGAACCAATTTTAAGCTAGTTCGAGCTGGAAGCCCAAGGTAAAAGATGACAAGAAAACAACACTAACTTTTCCACTGTCCGATGATCCACTAGGGCTCCGAGACCCATAGTCCACTGTTGATGTCGGCGAGTCTGACTGCTGTCGATGATGATGATAATGATGATGATGATAGGAGAGCCGCTGAAGATTTCCGGTTGTGAATTCTGGGAACTGGAGACTGTCGAGGTCCTCAGAATCGGTCTGCAATGATACATAATCTGTGACGTTGGCATTGGCAGACATGACAATGAAAAATTAGATGACACAAAAACATTGCAGAGCGCTTAAGGTGATCTCGGATGTGACGAATTTCTGTTGTGAAGAACACAATGTTTATCCCTGGTAATTTTTTCCTTGCTTAAATTCTAATCTAGGGATAAGAGGAATTTCTGATAAGAAAAACCATTTCTTGGGTCCCCTGTGAGTTCTCCTTAATCAGGTCTGCACTGTACATTACTGTCACTAATAAACGTCCCTGTCATTGTTTTTTGGATATTGTTTATTTATTGCCAAGCATGGTATATTAGTTGAACATCTTCTTTCTTCTCCGTCCGCTGGCTGTAAACGCAAGCAAAAGTTTTGGTTGTTCGCCTACTTCTAAACTGTAGTTTTGTCTCAAAACTTGAATTTTGCGTGCACCTCTGCTTTACAGATCTAACTCATTTGTAAGCAGACTGCTGGTTCCTCGCATCTCAGGCAAATGCACTCCAACTTCTAGCAACCCATATAGGATATTATTTACTTGTTGAGTTATCTGTCTGCCTGTGGACTTACCTAAGGTTAGTCTGTCTACACGTCTGTCTAACTATCTGTCTGTCCAACTCTCTGTAGCTGGTTATCCAGCTGTCAGTCTTTGTTCTGGTCTGTCTGTTTCTCTGAGTATATGGCACCAAATTCATAATCACCAGCTTCACAACTTATCGACCAGTTCGACGAAGGAGGTGGTCAGAATCACGCCAGGCGCTTTTAAGGGAATCCCAGAGTTCCTGGGAAAGTCCAATATTCTAGGGGTGCTGTGAGTTGGGTTTGGGGGTTAAGGTTAGGGTCATTATTAGCTCCTACCGCCTCAGATACACAGACTAACCCTTACCCTTACCCCAGCCCAGAACACCTCGATAATAGTTGACGTTCCGGGGAACTCGTGGATTCCCTCAACCCCCAACCCATAACACCCTTAGAACATTGGACTTTCCCGGAAACTCCTGGATTTCCTTTGTTTGGGGGTGAATTGGTAGTTAATGGACAATGATATGGAAGTCGGACTGTGGAATAAAAGGGGAACCTCACCATGTAATGTTCCCGAAAGACAGCAGTGGAAACACTGAAGCCAACCTTCTTCGTAGATACGGCACATCTTTGGATTCTCATTCACAGCCGCGAAATAACTTTTCCGCCCACGTGTCAAATGGTCAAGCTTCAGGACAGTATGCTGCTACAGGGTAGCCACCGTGGTGTAGCGGCTAGACGCTCGTCTATGGATCCAAAGGTCAAGGATTCAAATCGCACGGCGCCGTATTTTCGAACATGCTCTTGGTTCCCAAGTCGACCCAGCCTTAAAGAGAAACCTACTAAATTCTTGGGGAAGTAAAGACAGAGGATGTGACATCACTCATAGGAGTTAGTTGCGTATCCTTTACAGGGCGTTGCAGAAGCAACCCCAGCATTTTTTGGCTGTTGTGGTTTTCATTATGTGCCATTTTATATCATCACGACCTAGTCACAACTATAACCTAAAGCTCCCCCTTAGGGGCGATGCTGGCTGAAAGGGACGATTGTTTCCTCAGTTAAAGCACCTATCTACCATACGCATGCTATTTGCACTCTTATCATTAGCTTCTATACGTGCTCCAAAGAAGCGAGGTCGTCGTAGATTAGTTTTTACAAAGCAACGTCGTCTCCCAGGGAAGTCAGAACAAAGAAACTACTTGGGAGGGGGAGCTCTCTCCCTTTCTAAGATTATATCGGGTAATGGACCTCAAAGGACTGAAGTCGCATTTAAGTGAGCATAATAATAATAACAATAATAATAATGTGCTGAATTACAAACAAACATAATAATATATCTGAGACATATTCAAAATATTTTACTTGTAATATTCGAAATTTTAAAGATCTAAACATCAAGGGGGATTGGCTAATGACCATCATCTTATTTCGCAAGCTGACATATTTGGTCATATCAAGCGCCATGGCGGATTGGAGGAAAAAAATGCGGACATAATGCTCATTCCCATGTGGAACGAATGTTTCGTTATTCTAAAGCCCAACCCTGGTTGTTGTCGGGGGCCCTAATATCAACTAACGGTTGAACGGGGTTTCTGGGGCATCTCCACAGTTGATCCTCATCCGAATGGTGGCACTTTGTGTCACCGGGTGTTTATCGCTCAGTGTGATGTCGTGGTTGGGTAGAAAGTCAATCGGAAAGAATAATAGCAGAAGGCATGGCACCAAGAAGGAGGGGCAGGGGTCGACTAACACGAAGATGGGCACAAGATATAAGTCACTAATTGTATGTGAAAGTATACAAGGCGGGAGAGCTGGTGAGAAACCGAATTTCTTTTAATCAGATCGAGAGCGACGTTCCACAAAGGACCTGCCACATGATGATGATGATAAATATTCATATATATATATATATATATATATATATATATATATATATATATATATATATATAATATATATATATATATATATTTGGATATGTGGGGGACTAATCCTCTTTCAAACGGAAAATAATTATAATAGCTTTATTAATCATAATTTGCTGAAAAGCAAATACATATTATCTTCTTCTTCTTCGCGTTCACCAGCTGTACACTCTGGTGGAAAGTTCTGGTTGTTCGTCCGCTTCTGAACTGCAGTCCTGCTCCAGAACCTGAGTGTTGCGTGTGCATCAGTTTTACAGATCTGATTCACTTGAATGTAGACTGTTGGTTCCTTGCCTCTCAGGCAGATGCACTCCGACTTCAAAGGAAGCTCCCCAATTAGTCGACTCTTACGACATGCTTTTGGGTAGGCAGAGGGTCTATTCTTGTTTTCCCCACGATGGGGCCCCGGAACCCACACGGGGAAATACATATTATAATTTTTTGAAATAATGTGAAACCTATAAACATTCACTTACAAAAAAATGAATTTCTATTCATGTGTTTAAAAAAATGGTAAGGGTGTGGGGGGGGGGGGGGAGGGCGGCACTCAACTTTAAGATGGGTGCGCTAAACCCCTTCAAAAATAACTTGAGGATGGATGGGGGGGGGGGTCCTTAAAGTGCAAAAAATCCCCCCGGACTGCAGCGCTCCTGTTATCAACCATGTCTTTACACAGCAATAATAAATCGACAGCCGGTCCCAGATCGTGGACACGAATGTAGGTCGCGTCCTGAACTATTTGAACTAGTACATGGGATTATAAATATCCGTACCGGGCAGCTGAACAGGGGGGGGGGGGGGGGGTGTTAGCTGTTCAGTGCTAGGCAGCGATAAGATCATGTGACAGTTGGAGCTATTTTAATATTATCAATGTTTTCAATTTCTATTGTGTTATCACATGCAGATAAGGGCATGACCGTTTTTTTGAAACACTTAGCTAAAGTTTATGTAATACCAAAGCTAAACTGTTTAGTTAACTATATCAGTATTACTTCCTTCCGTTACATACCCCCCCCCCTCCCCGCGCCCCCCCCCGCCCCCCGGATGCTACTAATATGTTTCACAAGTTTGAGATTACACAATGTGATACTTTGTTAACAATTCACCCCAAACAAAGAAAAGAAGTTGCTGGGAAAGTGCAATATTCTAGGGGTGTTGTGGATTGGGTTTAGGATTATGTTTAGGGTTTGGTTTCGGATCTCAGTCCACCCCGACCACCTCAGAAACACTAGCTAACCCTACCCCTAATCCGAACCCTAACTTTAACCCTAACCTATAACATTCTTAGAACATTGCACTTTTCAAGGAACTGAAACGGCGAGCCAACGGAGAAAATGCCAGATACCTCGTTCAACCTGCTAAGACGTAATATAAAGGTACCCACCGTGGCTACCCCGGCCTGATGTAACCGTCCAGCCTTGTGCGGGTAAAGATGTCAATGTGTTTCAGTACTATTGATCGATCGGTTTGTCCGCTCCAAGCTGGTACTTAAAAGTTTACCCTTGTGAGATTAAAAGTCTCTGTCTAGACGGCTTAGCCAAGATATTGTGCCCAACCTTAACTAAATTAACTTGGTTTGCTTTGCAATAATTTCCTCACCTTCGACCATTCGACCAGTTTCCCCAGGAGAGAATGTTTGTGACTGCGTTTATCTGAGCCATATTGATAGCGAACAATTGCCCGCCACCTAGTGACCCTCAAAAGGACTCTACGCACTGACTAGACCCATTCATCTTCTCCGTCGGCGACAGAGTCGATGCGGTTCAGTACTATTACCTCCTCGTTGCTTATAACGCTGTACAAGGTATACATTGATTAACCTGTTTTGACCATTTTTGTGTAACATTTAGCCGTTCTATCCAGTGGTTGTTTTAACTCGTCCTGTTCAAGACGCCCAATAACTCAGTTCACATGAACCCAAATACTATTGCTATAGAGTGCTTAAACTCTGAAGCAGAAAGAGATTGATTATTATGTGTCTGGTACATAACGAATTATATTCCTGGCTCGCGCAGCGTTGCAGGGTATACCATTTGGTGTGATCGTCATTGGTACCTTATTGATAATGTTCTTTGAAGTATGAACGGGATATCTAGGTTGTAGTAGTAGTACATTTTACCCCACTAGGACATCACACAAGCGATAAACACCCGATGACACAAAGTGCCACCATGTGGATAAGGATCACAGTGGAGAGGTCCGAGAAACCGCGTTCAGCTATTAGGCCATATTTATAGCCGGGCTATATTGCAGCCGATAGCAGTCTGGTAGTCTTAGTTTCAGCTTCATAGCAAACGGGTTGCCCCATCTTTGCTCCGCTCCTGTGCCAGCGAAAAACACTCAGAATGTCTATCACAGTCCCTTGTGGAAAGATTGACAGACTGCTGTCTCAGCATATCTAGCATACACTCGCATTAAAGCATATGGTAGCCATCCGAAGTGCTAACACAAACAGTCCAACATTAGAAATGCAGTTCATCATTGATGATAGCAGAACTTGTCGTCAACAGATCAGCAGTTTTATGCGTGATCAATTTTAATACGGGTCCCGCAAGCATTGAACGACAGGCATCGCGCCATTTTCTGAATCTACAATTCACACCACCACGTTGGTCACAGTCGAAAAAAAAAAACATTCCAAATGCAATCCGCAGCTCACAGGGTCACGCCATGCATTCAACTCAGAAGCTGGGCGACGAAACTATATCCAGTCTACAAATGGAGCAAAAATGCATCGGCCACCGTCCGGCAGAAGCAAAAAATTTGCCTCTGTTCCGAACGGCGCCGCTGTCTAGCGTCCATTTTAACCGGAAGCCGATAGCAAGAGCCAGGGAGGGGCTTCAAATTAACGAAAAATTGCATCTCACAAGGAGATGACTTATGGTTGAGTGAATCTGGGTTTGCTAAGTTGGATTATTATCCACGATGCGACACGTGAAGTCGCAGAGGCTCTGAAATGATCAGACAGCGGCGCGAAGAGTGGGGGAAAAATCAGATCGAGACCAGATAAGAGAGTATATGTACATTAAAGTTGTTTAAAGGGTCATTCGTCTATGTGGAAACAATAGACGAGGAACAGCAATAGCTTGCATAACAACTACCCACCTGTACGATGTCTAGGCACGTCGTTGAAGGGGCGTCAACCGGAAAGAAAGAGAACTCGTCGGACGAATCATTTCTGCAGAAAATGTTGGCTGGCGACAAAATCACAGCAAAAACTGATTATGCAGACATATGTAATATTATCTTCGTCAACATTTATACATCACCATCGTCATAATCATCATCATCAGTATCATTATCATCAGTATCATCATCTTAATTATTAATATAATTACGATCACCAGGATCGTCGTCATTGCCATCATTATCTACACTTCATACAGATAATTATTATATCTCCTTCTTCTTTCTCTTCTTCTTCTTCTTCTTCATCCGATTTGTGATCCTTTGGCAGTAAAGTTTGTTCGTCACAATCCGGAAATATGCATAAACAGTAAATGCATAAGGCAGTTGCTAGAGGCGCCAAAGCCAACAGTCTACGCCAGAAATGCAGTTGAACTGTGATGTATGTAGTTGGTCACGAAAAGTTGGCCATACACAGGAACAATTATTACACAAGGTAGTTCGCCAGCGCACCGTACACCGGCTACCTGCCATACCAAATACCACGACAAAATGTTGAAAAAGGAAAGACTACTACATGAAGAACACAGCTCACAGTGCTACACTATACAGTTAATTCAGTAGCTCAGGCAGCAACATTTCCTATAATATAATTTCTAAAAAGAATTGGTACTCGTGTGTTTTCACGGACTCGTGTGCTAACAATTATTACTGACACAGATAGTCCTCGAGGGCTTAAAGTTAAGGTGATCAGCATCATCACTCTTGGTCTCCATCTGCCTCCCAGCCACTCCAACTTACCCGGTATGGAGATGTACTCCAGTTTTACTCTTCTGTTATGATCTTTACAGCCTTCCCACCCCCTCTACATTAACGGTGATACCATACCAAGAACACTATCCTTCCTAGACGTTTAACGGTGATGCCATACCAAGAACACTATCTGTCCTAGACGTTTAACGGTGATGCCATACCAAGAACACTATCCTCCCTAGACGTTTAACGGTGATGCCATACCAAGAACACTATCATTTCTAGACGTTTAACGGTGATGCCATACCAAGAACACTATCCTCCCTAGACGTTTAACGGTGATGCCATACCAAGAACACTATCATTTCTAGACGTTTAACGGTGATGCCATACCAAGAACACTATCTGTCCTAGACGTTTAACGGTGATGCCATACCAAGAGCACTATCCTTCCTAGACGTTTAACGGTGTTGCTATACCAAGAACACTATCAATCCTAGACGTTTAACGGTGATGCCATACCAAGAACACTATCCTTCCTAGACGTTTAACAGTGATGCCATACCAAGAACACTATCCCTCATAAACATTTAATGGTGAGGCCTTACCAAGAACACTATCCCTCCCAGACATTTAACGGTGATGCCTTACCAAGAACACTATCCTTTCTAGACGTTTAACAGTGATGCCATACCAAGAACACTATCCCTCATAAACATTTAACGGTGATGCCTTACCAAGAACACTATCCCTCATAAACATTTAACGGTGATGCCTTACCAAGAACACTATCCCTCATAAACATTTAATGCCTTACCAAGAGCACTATCCTCCTATACGTAAGTTTTGACATAAAACCGGTTATTGATATAATACCATGTCTGAGAACGTAAAAGGAATTTTAATACATTCAGGATAAACACATTATGTCTTTTTCACTTACAAAAACCCATTGTTCAATAAATTCCTATTGTATTTGGTATTTAACCGAAGCCGCTGGAGTCTCAGTTATTATCTATGTTTTGGTATTATGAAATGATTGTACGTGGATTTTAATGGTAATTACGACCTTAGCAGTCGATAACTATTGGTCCGAAATTTGGCTTCTTCTCTGGCATAACAAAAGCTGATTCAGTTGTCATTGAAAATGGTTTGTGTTGCCAAGAGGCACTGTGTAAGACATATTGACAAAATAAAAACTAAAAAATGGATACATGCTAAAACAAATTAAAAAGGTGTGTCACAAAACACGGAGGGCATTCTTTACTTCTCTTTAGTTGACATTCTTTAGTAGACAGTAAGCTGACGACAGAAATGAAGCACTTCATTGTCAAGCAGAATTATCATGAAAAGGAACAGTTTAAACACAATGATTCGTATCAAATCGTCAAGATGCATTTAGCCGTTCCAATAATATTGAAAGAGAAGCAATATTACGACTATTCCCGTCATTAGGAGTAACAAACTGTTAAGAAGAAAGATGATTTTCAAGGCTAAAAAGAATTAAAAAAAAAAAAAGATTTGAGAGCAACTTTGTCTCGATAAAATGCTTAACCTCATTTGAATTGAAAGTAAGGTGTTACCCGGAATCTGTCGATGAAAGTCAATGATTTTGCATTATGGAAATCAAGAAAAATATTTATGTTGCAATTTGAGAGAATTATAAAATATAATTCCTGTGATTTTGCAATAGCTTTCTTTATTATTTCTTTAAAAACACGAGAACATATTTACATTATCTATATATTCAAAAGTCTTATATATATATATATATATATATATATATATATATATATATATATATATATATATATATATATATATATATAAAACAGTTTTCTGAGATTAGCTGGTGTAGTTTGAAACGATAGGGGCCTCAGGGCTTTACATTGCTTCGGGCCTTATGGAGTCTAAATCCAAACCTTGCTCTAGGCACATATTTGTAAGACCATTAGACACTAAGGGGGTGACGTAGTCAACAAAACGCGGTAGCCTTTACTTCCCATGACATTACATCGTACTCATTTTAGCCTGGGTCGTCAAAAGTAGGACTCAGCCTTAAAAGAAAAAGTAGATTGTGAGGATTGGTCTATGAAATTATAGCCTAGCCCGATCTTACCGAAGCGCTTTTGGTATGACTGAGGATGTTTACATGTAGGCATACATCCTGCAGTATTTACGTTATGCACCCGAAGAATGATCTTCTTCTTCTTCTTCTTCTTCTTCTTCTTCTTCTTCTTCTTCTTCTTCTTCTTCTTCTTCTTTTTTTCTTCTTCCTCGCGTTCACCTACTGAAAGTTCTAGTTGTTAGTCCACTTCTGGACTCTGGCCATTTCCCAGAATTTGAGTTTTGCGTGAAAATACAGCTTGCTTACGTATATGCTAACTGTTGATTCCTCGCCTCACTCCGACTGTGAAGGGAAACCCACAACTAGTCGCCTTTTACGACATTCTTGTTAAAGGGGAAATAAGTCTATTTTATTCCATCAAACTGGGGTTCCGGAACCCATATATTCTGAACTTTTGTAAAAGTAGACCCGCAAGGCCAAGGATATGTTATATACAATGTTTTAGTTGCGTATCCTTTACAGGACGATGCAGAGCCAACTCCAGTATTTTTTGCTGGTTTTTTTTCTATGCAAATTTTACGTTCAGTAGTTTGCCATTGCCATCTGAGCGGTCAGCTCTCTGTACCACTATCGAAACCAGCACAAGTCTAATAGTGTGCGGCTTGGATCGAGCCCAGCACTCCAGCATTACAAAGCGTGTTCGTGACTCCTAATCCACGACGCCGACATGTAATCTAAAGCTGACAAGATTTAATAGGTTTCCAAACCTACGTCTGACCGCAACTGTGAGTGGTGATGCTGTTGTTCCCAGTATCATAGTATTCTACATAAAGGTTGAGTGGTGAGTGGTGGATGCTGTTGTTCCCAGTATCCCAGTATTCTACATAAAGGTTGAGTGGTAAGTGGTGGATGCTGTCGTTCCCAGTATCCCAGTATTCTACACCAAGGTTGAGTGGTGGATGCTGTTGTTCCCAGTATTCTACATAAAGGTTGAATGGTGAGTCGTGGATGCTGTTGTTCCCAGTATCCCAGTATTCTCATCAAGGTTGAGTGGTAAGTGGTGTGTGCTGTTGTTCCCAGTATTCTACTAAAGGCTGAGCAGTGAGCGGTGGATGCTGTTGTTCCCAGTATTCTACATAAAGGTTGAATGGTGAGTCGTGGATGCTGTTGTTCCCAGTATCCCAGTATTCTACATGAAGGTTGAGTGGTGAGTGATGGATGCTGTTGTTCCCAGTTGCCCAGTATTCTACTGAAGGCTAAGTGGTGAGTGGTGGATGCTGTTGTTCCCAGTGTTCTATATAAAGGTTGAGTGGTGAGTGGTGGAGGCTGTTTTTCCCATTGTTCTACATAAAGGTTGATGGTGAGTGGTGGATGCTGTTGTTTCCAGTGTTCTACATAAAGGTTGCGTGGTGAGTGGTGGAGGCTGTTGTTTCCAGTGTTCTACATAAAGGTTGCGTGGTGAGTGGTGGAGGCTGTTGTTTCCAGTGTTCTACATAAAGGTTGCGTGGTGAGTGGTGGAGGCTGTTGTTTCCAGTGTTCTACATAAAGGTTGCGTGGTGAGTGGTGGAGGCTGTTGTTTCCAGTGTTCTACATAAGGTTGAGTGGTGAGTGGTGGATGCTGTTGTTTCCAGTGTTCTACATAAAGGTTGCGTGGTGAGTGGTGGAGGCTGTTGTTTCCAGTGTTCTACATAAAGGTTGCGTGGTGAGTGGTGGAGGCTGTTGTTTCCAGTGTTCTACATAAGGTTGAGTGGTGAGTGGTGGAGGCTGTTGTTCCCTGTATCCCAAAGTTATACATGAAGGTTGAGTGGTGAGTGGTGGATGCTGTTGTTCCTTGTGTTCTACATGAAGGTTGGATGGAAAAGGTGGGGTGGGCTTACTCCTTCTTTCTCAACAGCAGACTGGACGGGATTTATCATTTGGCCCAGATTGGGGTTGCAGACTGGCTTGAGGTCAGTTTGTAAATTGTAGTACACAATTATAGTCTCTTTGTGGTTGTGTGAGTATGAGAGGAGAAGAAGATTAAGAAGAAAAAGAAGAAGAAGAAGAAGAAGAAGAAGAAGAAGAAGAAGAAGAAGAAGAAGAAGAAGAAGAAGAACAATAAGCAGAAGGAGAAGAAGAAGAAGAAGCAAAAGAAGAAGAAGAAGAAGAAGAAGAAGAAGAGAAGAAGAAGAAGAAGAAGAAGAAGAAGAAGAAGAAGAAGAAGAAGAAGAAGAAGAAGAAGAAGAAGAAGAAGAAGAAGAAGAAGAAGAAGAAGAAGAAGAAGAAGAAAAAAAAAGAAGAAGAAGAAGAAAAAGAAGAAGAAGAAAAAGAAGAAGAGAAGAATAATAATAATAATAAGAAGAAGAAGAAGAAGGAGAAGAAGAAAAATAAGAAGAAGGAAGAGAAGAAGAAGAAGAAGATGAAGAAGAAGAAGAAGAAGAAGAAGAAGAAGAAGAAGAAGAAGAAGAAGAAGAAGAAGAAGAAGAAGAAGGAAGAAGAAGAAGAAGAAGAAGAAGAAGAAGAAGAAGAAGAAGAAGAAGAAGAAGAAGAAGAAGAAGAAGGAGAAGAAGAAGCAGTTGTAAAGCACAGCCAGAATGAAAGCGGAAACACAGATATACACAAACACATCAGGTATGCGCACACACGTGAAATTGTATAGCTTCCATTTCAGACACAATGGTTATGATCACGAAGAATACAATCAGTGCTTCAGCACTATCAGGTAGACGTTTAAGCAAAAGCCGACTGATGTAAGAAAATGCAAAGAAATCATCCTTGGCTCCAGTATGAATGTGTGTTAACTGGGCTGTGTCAAGTCAAGGTTGCGTGATTTCGGGGAGCGGGAGGGACATCTCACAGACGACTGGACACACCTGCATGTACGATCTGTTGTTCTTATGACAGGCCAGGGATTTCCAATTTAAAAAAAAATGTGTGTGCCTATTATGCATTGGAGGTGTGTGTGTGTGTGTGTGTGTGTGTGTGTGTGTGTGTGTGTGTGTTTTTGTGTGTGTGTGATAAAGATCACTTATGAAACGCAAAGGATATAAAAAGAAAACACAAGCATTCAAAACACAGGCTATTCAACTTACGGCCCGAGGGCCAAATTTGGCCCGCAAAAGCCTGACAACCGGCCCGCCAATCATTGCCAATTATAGTGTGTTAATGAGCTTTCTATTCTTTTGGGCTTTCAACTTAGTTGAATACCTCTGGCATAGAGACAGGCGTTCGGTAAGTTGGACAGGCGGACAGACAGATAGATATACAGACAGATAGGTAGGCAGGCAGGAAGAGTGACAACTTTTTACTCTTCTTGTTTTTATTATCATATTCTTAATTCTTCTTCTTCTTCTTCTTCTTCTTCTTCTTCTTCTTCTTCTTCTTCTTCTTCTTCTTCTTCTTCTTATTCCCCTTGTCCTAGTCGGGATCATGCATTGATTGTCAGAACTCACTACACCTCCCCTTAAAATGATGGTCCAGAGACGTTAACTCTACTTATATTCCTGTCATCTGTCTCAGCACACACGTGCACCGTAATTGTCCCGCTTACATACATCTTCGGGTACCAGGTGCAGTCCCGGGAAGTAGAGGCGGCCGGCGTGATGCTGACCACATCACCCATCTTGTGCCGATTGGTCTTTAAAAATATAGGTCTAGCCCTAAATGCCCTATACGCCTAAAGGCGTGGAAAAGGGTCCATTACTTTTTTTACTTACATACATCTTTATATCGTAGTAGATGCCGACCTCAAGATATTCCATCAAACTCTAACTTACGACGGGTGATGTCCTTATTGAAAAGGTGGGGAGGGATTGGGTTGAGGAGAAGCGGGTGCTCTGATAATCTCTATTCTCTGAGTACATACAAGTCGTCTGAACATTCATGGTGGGAGTATACATAAAATAATACTTCTTAGCAGTATTTTAATAACTACACCACAATTTGACAATATCAATGATTACAGTAAAGTAAAACCTTTGCATAGGATTACTTGTTATATACTATACTTATCTTTTTCTTTAATTGTTATATACTGTACTTTGTATGTATGTAAGTTGTACCCACCAGGACATCGCACAAAGCGTTAAACACCCGGTGACACAAAGTGCCACCATGCTGATAAGGATCACCCGTGGAAAGGTCTCTATAACCCCGTACAGCCGTAAGGCAATATTAAGCCCGGCTATGTTTAGGGCCCCCGGGAAAAGCCAGGGCGGGGTTTAAAAAAAAAAACTGAAAATTGCATCCCACATGGGTATGACGCTGGTATACACACTATACTTTGCTTATGTGTGTAATGATAAGCCCCACACATCATACATGTAGACTAATGTCTCAACAACCACATCACAACACACCAAATAAATACAATTAATCTCAACTTACACATACAGCTCTCCTCAATAAGAATCATTTTAAACAACACTGGTCAATGTTAAATCCAGAAACGGCTCAACAAAACATTAGCAACAGCAAGCAAATTAAATCCTCAGCCACTGCCTGGTAATAGTGTGTCCCTGATCAAGTGCACAAAAACTTTGCCAACTTCAGCTGCATTTCTGACCTATCTGTTCTCTTATCTGAAAATTCAGGCCCAGGAATGGGTTGATCATGCGCACAAGGCGAGGCCACCGCAGCTCTCCCCTCCACGTTTTCTGTCTGTGCACTACAGGCTATATAATAACTGCACTTTTTGTGTTTCTTCTTACATAACCTTTACAACCTGAGCCGCGGCTGTAACCCACTAACCCACTGACCTACTCCAGCGTGAGAGTTTTTGTCGTCACCTTGGCCTCGATTCGTTGTCGGCACTAGGTCAAACTTGGCAATTTGCACCGTTGGGCGGTTGGGTTAAAATGGAGAAAACCGGCCTAGTGTGGGGTTTATTTTCCCTCTTGGCAGTTGACATTCCGAAAATGTTATAGAAGGTTGCGGAAAGGTGTGAATGTACTTGAAAAATGTCTTGTCCTCTCATGGTCTGGTTTGTAATCATGCTCGCTAACTGGCTTCCACAATTCTTCTGTCGATTTATGTATCTATCCACCTAGTGGAGTATGAAGGGGTGTGCGGGGGGAGACAGTGGGGTAGCAGACCGCTATAAAATGTGTTTGTGTGTATTCGTGTGTAAAAAATAGGGGGGGGGGGGGGAAGGTGAACATTTTCCGCACAGGGTACCACCTGTCCTTGCCCCGCCTTATCTATCTATCTATCTATCTATCTATCTATCTATCTATCTATCTATCTATCTATCTATCTATCTATCTATCTATCTATCTATCTATCTATCTATCTATCTATCTATCTATCTATCTATCTATCTATCTATCTATCTATCTATCTATCTATCTATCTATCTATCTATCTATCTATCTATCTATCTATCTATCTATCTATCTATCTATCTATCTATCTATCTATCTATCTATCTATCTATCTATCTATCTATCTATCTATCTATCTATCTATCTATCTATCTATCTATCTATCTATCTATCTATCTATCTATCTATCTATCTATCTATCTATCTATCTATCTATCTATCTATCTATCTATCTATCTATCTATCTATCTATCTATCTATCTATCTATCTATCTATCTATCTATCTATCTATCTATCTATCTATCTGTCTATCTGTCTGTCTGTCTGTCTATCTATCTGTCTATCTGTCTGTCTGTCTGTCTGTCTGTCTGTCTGTCTGTCTGTCTGTCTGTCTGTCTGTCTGTCTGTCTGTCTGTCTGTCTGTCTGTCTGTCTGTCTGTCTGTCTGTCTGTCTGTCTGTCTGTCTGTCTGTCTGTCTGTCTGTCTGTCTGTCTGTCTGTCTGTCTGTCTGTCTGTCTGTCTGTCTGTCTGTCTGTCTGTCTGTCTGTCTGTCTGTCTGTCTGTCTGTCTGTCTGTCTGGGAAGGAGGTCGGATTAAAAGGAGGAACAGCTGTCTGTCCAACTACAAACCTACTTGACATTATATATACACGTCTATGTCTGGATGTGAATTTGTGTTTATTTGCATGTATGTGCGAGACTGTGTTTCTGTGTGTATATTTGTGTGTGGGTGCGTGCGAGCGTACGCTTGTGTGTCTGACAGTCACAGCTGTGTTTGATGTAATCAGATCTTGAAGCAGTCCAATTAGAATGATATTTCACTCAGTCTCATTTAACCTTATCTTTACAAGTTGTTAAAACAAACCAAAGTCTATGCATACAGTTGTAGCAGACTTCTTCGTCATTAAAAAGAAAATAAAGGACCCTTTGGTCAAGTGACGAGAAGGAGAATACTGGAGTTCATCGCGACAGTAGAAAAGTTGGAGTGGATCAGAGGCGGATGGAGACCGAGAGAAAAGATGCTGGACAGTTAGAAGTTTGACATCATGGCATGGAGGGTCATCTGTATCAGAGTTGATTGAAAATAGACGCCACAGAAGGTTGTTGATATACATGACTACCAGCGTCACACGGCATGGACTTTGAGAACAAGAAAAGACACTGTCATGACATTAGTTCAGATGGTAAATGATGCCAGACCCGCGTTTGAATATATCAGCGAGCACCACCACTAGATGGGTGATTTTTTTCCATGATGGACTACAGATGACGTCATAACCGTGTTGTGTTACTCCATCATGAATGTGCTATACGGCTATACGGTTAAAGAGGTTTTCTAGATTTGTGCCAGCTGATTCTCATCCTTGAAATTCTAATCCTACAGAATGCAAATCTGGAGGGGAGAAACTACTTTTAAAACGTTATCAAAACTTTTATCTAATCCTCATCATCATTATCGTGGTCTGCGTCATCATTATCGTCATTTTATCGTTTAGCAAATGGAATAAGTCTCTGTCATTGTTGTTTTCATTAATACACAGTGTACTGTGTATTCATTTATTAAACTCCTGTGAAACAAGCATGGATGCCAAGTTCTCAACCCTTTGAAAGTAAAGTTTATTGCATCTTTGCAAACATTACAATGTCTCTAGTGCATTCTTTGTTTCTCTGAAAAAAAGGTCGCTTGCCAATTTACTGCTTTGTGAAATGTCAGGCCCAGTGTAAAGTTAAACACCCGTACCACCAATGGCAGATTAGGCATATTCTTCTTCTTCCGCCTTTCTATCCCCCAATGGAGCATAGGCCCTCAACCAACTCACGCCAAGTCGTTCTATCCTTCGCCATTGCATGGAGCTCTCCCCATGTCCTCCCCATCTTTCTAACTTCATTCTCCAGCTCTCTTCTCCGTTTTTTGGGGGGGGGGGGGGGGCCTTCCTTTATTCCTATGCCCCTGTGGGTTCCAATGCGAAGACATTCTAGTTATGCTGTTCTCCTGTTTTCTCAGTGTGTGTCCCATCCAACGCCAGCGTCTTTTCCTCACCTCTTGGTCCACCGGAGCCTGTTTAGTTCTCATGACAGATTCGGCATATAGAACTATAATTTACAGACCAGTCAGCACTCAGTTTTTGATGTGGTCATTTTTTTACTTGCCACGACTTTACTTGGTTCCCAGTTTAGGCTGGATAGATCTGAGAACCGATGTGCTTTACTTGGTTCCCAGTTTAGGCTGGAGAGATCTGAGAACCGATGTGCTTTACTTGGTTCCCAGTTTAGGCTGGATAGATCTGAGAACCGATGTGCTTTACTTGGTTCCCAGTTTAGGCTGGATAGATCTGAGAACCGATGTGCTTTACTTGGTTCCCAGTTTAGGCTGGATAGATCTGAGAACCGATGTGCTTTACTTGATACCCAGTTTAGGCTGGGTAGATCTGAGAACCGATGTGCTTTAACAAAAAACAAAAACAAAAAACATCATACTTGGTGCTTTTTTCAAACCACGACTTTCGGGACAGCAGAGAAGAAGAAGCCAAGAGCCTCGGACCATTTGGCAATTCTCTAGCCAGTTGTTCTTTACCTGCGGGTCACGACCCTTTTGTGGGCCGAACGAACCTTTTACAGCGAAAACACTTATTCGCTGAATATGAAGTAGCAACTAAAATAATTGTATGTTTGGTATCGCCACAACATGAGGAACTGTATGAAAGGTTCGCGGGATTAAGTAGGTTGAGAGCCACTGGTATAGCCAGTACGCTAACAATCAGGGTGATGCACTTTAAGTTTACTGCAAATTTATGTTTAGTGCAACTGTCCTGGAATACGGCAGGCTCGTGTCGCTGGTTCGCTGGAGTGGTTAGTTTCTCCTGCCAGCCCCCGCACTGACAAGCTGTCTGTCGCCTAGCAGGCGGTGGGAGTTTTTTGTTTCCTCCAAGCATGGCTGGGGAGAATTATCCCCAACGCTAGCAACATGTGACCTTTGGTTGTGACAGGGGTTCTCAAGTTGACGAGGAGGTAGATGTCGAAACCTGGACGTTAAAGTGCATGATATAATTAGATACATATATAAATACATACGTAGGCAGGGTGGTAGTAGTAGCAGAAGTAGTAGTAACAGCAGACACAGTAGCAATAATAACAGCAGTAGCAACAGCAGCAGCAGCAGAAATAACGGCTGGAGCAGTAGTGGTAATCAGTAATGATCGTAACAGTAGCAACAGCAGCAGCAGCAGCAGAAATAACGGCTGGAGCAGTAGTGGTAATCAGTAATGATCGTAACAGTAGCAACAGTTGATGTTGTCGTAGCAGCTGAACCTAACCGCAACACTATAAGAAGTTGTAGTGGTTGTGGTGACGATGTTAGTAGTAGCGGCGGTGGTCAGGGTAATAACTTTGGGTGGTGGTAGCGGTTTCTAGGGTGAGGAGGAGGTATCTGTAGTAACCATGGTGTTAAAGCAGATGGACTGCATAATATAATGTACATATATGCATGAATGTGGTGGTGGCGATGGTAATAGTAGTGGTAGTAGTGGCAGCAGCAGCAGCAGCAGTTAAGCAACAACAACCCAAATGGTTTTGTTCAATTTACAGAATTTTCAGAAACTTGTAAAGTGAAGTCGACTGAGAAATGAGCTGTCACCACCCCACATATTGTACTCATCCCTCGCCCCCTTTTTTTCTTTAAACCCCTTTTCCAAGTGTAATCCTTTCCTGTTATTCCCATTGTTGAAAAAGACCGGGTTTTTTTGTGTGTGTGCTTTCTGGTAGGGTACAAGAATCGTACCGAGGAAAAGATTGTGTTGTCATCATGGAATTTTCCAACGGCTGCATTCTGGAGACAATACATAAAGTGTTTTATGTTTTCTATATTTGTTTTTGTTTTTGCATTAGGTGTCAACCGACGAGAGAACAAGTTTCTCATATATTCGAGGTCATCGGGTGTACAAAGGTTGAAAGCCGCTGGTCTAGATCATATACTTCTCTTGCAATCATCCGAACATGAAAATGTGTTGTGCCAGTTTACAACAAGGCAACGATATTTGCACCTTTCGGCCGATACATTCGACTTCTGCAGGCATTTGATGCCCGGGGTAGCCTT